ATAAAAGATAATGATGAATTGAGGGTGTGTGGCCCTGTGTTAGGACCTAGCAGCTATTAACATTTTTTATGTGCCAGACGCTTCCTCAGCCAGCTAATGAGCACATCTGATCTCTCTTTTGGGAAGGTGTAACATATTAATCTGACCTTTTGGCTAAGCGCAAAGCAGGAGTTGAGACATGAGTTCACTGTGAGGAGCCATAGCAGGCAGACAGGACAGACCTCTCTACTCAGGATTGGCCATCTCTCGTACGCATTCGGTGCCTTGCTCATGTTGTATTCTAGCATCTCTCACATTATACTGGAAATCACATATTTAGATGTGTCTCTTTTACTTCCTACACTGTGAGCCTCATAAGATGAGAAGGAATCACGTCTTATTGAATGAGATTTACACCGTTATGTTAAATCTCATCCCCTCCAGCTGACTGAAATGTCAGATAATAGTCATACTCATTTACATGTCTTGTCTAGATAGTGTCAGACATGTGTTTTATTTTCTTTAAATAATTTAAGTAGGGAGACTAATAAGATATTTTCTTAAGTGTTTTATATGAAATCCAAGGCAAGTAAGAAAAAGTGAGGAAATACTTGCTTTAATTTATTTTTCATCCCCTATTTACCTTGTTTATGGCCAAGAAATACAAGTAACCACTCATGACCAACAAAAACAAAATGCACATCTGTTCCTTCTGGAAAATAATTGTGCTGAATAATTATTTTCTCTTTGAAATGCTTGTTTTAACCCCTTGCAGCTAGAAAACATTTCATCCAAGTTAACAAAGCACAGTTTGACGTGCCATATTTTAATGTTCAATACCAGGAAAAAAAAATGCTAGAATTTTAAATACAAATACAGGCTTCTTTAGAGTCATTTAATATTTATTTGTTACTAGTTGGCAGAAAAAAATGTCAAATGACTTTTCATTCTAAATATTGTTTCAAGAACTCTTTCCTAAATTCTTATGAATAAAATTACACTTGCAGTATGTTTATAATCCTTCAAAATCCCTAAATCCTCAAAAAGAAAATTAATCCGAATGTTTAAATAAGGATTTTATTTTCAGAAATGAACAACTTTTGATTATCTTAGAGTATTATTTTCTGGCTACTTAATAAAAACAATATTCACTTCAGCCTGCTGAGGAAACATCATACTGTGCATTTGTTACTACGTGAATTTGAAAAAATCTTGTTTTGATTGTGAAATTAGTGCAGATTTACTTTAAAATCAAGCTTTAGTAGAAACTCAAATAGGTTGGCAGAAGAGCAGTTTAGTAAATATTTATGTCTAAACAGGGCTGTTTCTTGTTATTGGTGAATCATTTTAATTAACATTTTTGTTGTGATTTCCATTGTAAAAGGAAATAAAACTAAACCTCAAACCTTTATAGAATTTAGTAAAATGCTTTTCAGAAGAAAAGCATTCGTTTTTACTTCAACTAATTTTGATTTATTTTGCTTATCTGCAATCAGAAATTTCAGTTTTTACTTCAACTAATTTTGATTTACTTTTTCTGCTTATCTGCAATCAGAAATGACGTAGTTATTATTGCTGTGACTAAACTAAAAAAAGATTTATGTTAAATGTCCTCAGATCTTATCAGTGGGAATAAGTTTTTGCCCTAAAAGGGTCTGCATATTCATAAATATTGTAACTTGAAAAACATGTTCTCATAGACTAAAGTTTCACCTTGAGACATTTTTCAATTTAGTTTGCTTCTTTTGGGGGATCAATATTGGCACCCCCCCCTTTATTTTTTATGTATCTCTCTAAGCTGCCAACTCCAGCAGACCCGTGTCCGCCTATTCTCAGTTGCTCTTCTTCCTTTCTGGAAGAGGGAGCGCTTGCTTGCCCGGGCACCTCTGACAGCATCCTTACCTGCCTTCCTTCTTCCTTCTTTGCCTGCGATTCCTGTTTCTTTACACCTGAAATAGTGGTGTATCCTAAGGTCCTATCTTTTTCCCCTTCTTTTACTTTCCTTTTTTCTGTTCCCAAGGCATCAGTCACCTCCTGTGTTATGAGCTGTTAACATCCCAATCTAAGTCTTCTGTCTTGGACTCCAGACCCATTTGTCCAGCTGACCACTACTTTCAAGTCCTCCTGGTCTGACCCAACATGTACAAAAGCAGAATTCATTGTAATATCTCCTTCTCTATTCCCGACTTGGGCCAATAGCACAGTCATCTACCAAGAAATCTAAGCCAGAGCTCTGCAAGTAACATACAGTTTTCAATACCCTCACTTCCCCCTTCCAGGTAATCACCAGTCCTTTGGATTCTGTCTTCCAGAATCTTTCTTTCATTCTTTCTCTCGATCTTCAGTGCTTCGTTCTTAGTTCAGGCCCCCAGCAGACCTTCTGTCAATTACTCAATACTTCATTCCCTTCCCAGGCAAGGCTGCCTCGCATTCATCTCACCACTGAATTCCTACCTCCTGGCATCTAGTTATACAAGGAAAAAAATGTTTGGAAATAAATGAAGGGACCCAATTCTCTTAAGTAGCAACAGTGCAGGTGAGTCCAGGACAGAATTATAAAGAATGGAGAATTAAGGGTTTCCTCACAAGTGGACATTATGCCCTCATTTTTTTTTTTTCGGAAAACAGTGTCCCAGGTCTGTCTGGTAAAGGGAACTAAACTATCAGTAAAAATTTACACCTTTAAACACCATGGAGCCCACTTTTTACTTAAATAGTCCTTTATAGTTGAACCATTTATAGTAACGTTTAAACAACATTTGATTTTTAACTGTTTACAATTTATTGTTTAAACAATGGCAGTATGCCTTCAAATATTCTCAACTTGTTATAGTCTTCTGGTTAGGTCCCCAGTGATTTTTCTTTAACCTCAATTATCTCCTTTATACCCATTTTACACATAACTTACCAGAGCAAGGAGAGAGAGGTGCTGATCTTTGACTAAAGCATATCATTTTAAGATTCTTATGAAAGTGTAGGAGAGATCGGTGGTTGGAAAAACTACCATCGCTCAACCCTGACAAAAGTACAGTGTGCTCTTTAGCCTCTTCTGACCCTGTGAAGCAAGGGAATAATAAAGTTCTCTACTTTGTGTCTTACTGTGTCTGTGCCATTTATTACTGAGCCACCGTAAATTCATGTGACTTCACACACTTTCTCTCCCCTTTGATATGTAATGAAAGACACCATTACTCACTTCAGATACAGTGGATGACCCAGCATACAGAAATGTCAGTTACTTAGCAAGCCTCAAAAGACTGTGTAAGCTTTGAATTTTCTGTTCAGAATGAGGGTAATGGGAAGATTCACGTGACTCCTGATAAAATAATTTCATGCGTTTGCTTAGAAAAGTGACAAAATTCTTTATTTGTATAAAATGGTAATTTTTCTTTGAAAAACATCATTATTCTCTATCTTCCAGAAACAACTTTTACCAGAAAAATCAGAGCATGTTTTTCAAAGAGAAACGACTTTTTTTTTTTTTTTTTTTTGGCCAAGGTCCTATAGTGACTCGTTGGGAAAGTTGTAAATAAAACCTAGACTTCCTGCCTCTTTCTTCTCTTTGTCCTGTCTTCTTTCATATTGAAGAACAATTTTGAGGCCTCCATATGACGTGTAATTATTTGGCAGTAGAGGAGTGTTATCACACAAGCAAATATTGTAGCTAGATGCTGGATGTGTGTTGACATTTCAGCTTATTTAGTATCATTTAGGTCTTATGTTTCAGCAGTCAGTTTTTAAAATATAAAATATCCCTAAAGATATTTTGACTTTTTATTTCAAAAAATACCTTTATGGCAGAGAGATTGTCTTTAAGATGTGCTTGACGTGAAATCACAGAGAGTAAAATCTCTTGAGTCATTGAATCTTTGGGGATTATGTCATGAACGTAGAATATAAGCAGACTTTTAAATTCTATTAAAACCACCTCCCTTTACTGTATATATTGATCTTTAACCTGAGTTAAAAAGGGTCCCCCCCCGCCCCACACACACTATAATGTTAGAAAGTCATTGAGTAGATGATTATTGGGTCTTAAATTGAATTTTCTTACATAGAAAAAAGGACAAAAATTGGTTTGGGTGTTAGGTCATAAGTGACTAGGTCCTTGCTTATGAAGATTGGATCCATTCCTGTCTTGTTTTAGTGCTGTGGTGGGACATCATCCAGATGATCACACAGATGCCATTCACTGTGTTGCAGTCATCTTTCTGTCTCCTTGCTGCTTTGAAGATCTTGTCAGAAACTCATGATGAGAGCATTTGGGATGACGATAGCACACAAGAGCATTTTGTTCATTCTCTTGATCATGACTTTACACTGAACCCAAAGGTTTTAGAGTCTCTGTGGGGAGAAGCCCCAGTGTGCTGCTGTGATAATGATACTGTCATGGTTGCTTACTCCTTGATTAAAACCTCCTAGCTCTGCAGTCGATACTGTTCAACTGTTAGGAAATACAGGGCTCAGTAATAAATTTTCAGTTATCATTGAAGAAAATAATGTGATCCAAAGAAATGTTTTATAAGATTATTTCAGTCTTCACTTGTCATACTCATCCCAGCCATTTATTGTGGAAGACTTTCCACGGTACACTGCTGTGAAATCTAGAATATCTGCCTAGTGTTTTGGTGAATCACATTGGAGACAAACCTCTTGGGGAGGTGACGGCTTCTCCAGAGAGGACCTTTGGCCTTGGAGCCTGGGTTTGAGTCGGAAGCTTACCACATTGGGCTGTGGGTCCGTGGGCCAGTTGGCTTAACCTTGTGGGGTGTTGTGGGCATGTGAATCCTCCAGCATAGCCCTTGTTCCCCTTCTCTCTGTGAACGTCGTGCATTTCCCTCTCATGGGCGGCATTCATGGCCCCGGATTCCTTGGAGTGTCTTCCTTCAGGTACCATGCGATGGACCGCACAGCCGAGCGGATGAGCGCGCAGCATCGGGCCATTGGGTCTTCACGCCTTGTGTGCGGGCGTGGGAGCAGCTACTGCGCATCCCAAGTAACGCACCTTCCTCTCTCCACAGGTGCCTGAGATCATCAGCTCCATCCGTCAGGCCGGGAAAATTGCCCGCCAGGAGGAGCTCCACTGCCCGTCGGAGTTCGACGACACATTCGCCAAGAAGTTCGAGGTGCTCTTCTGCGGCCGGGTGACGGTGGCGCACAAGAAGGCCCCGCCAGCCCTGATCGACGAGTGCATCGAGAAGTTCAATCACTTCAGTTGCAGCCGCAAAGCTGAATTCGATATGGTCTCCCAGAATTCTGAGACCCCCAGCCCCGCGGCGGGGTTTTCCTTCCCCGACAAGTTCCGATCTGTGCTCCAGCCGGCAGGGAACTGGGAGCAGGGCCGCAGGCCAATGCGCAAATCCTCCTCGCAGCCCGGGCTGCGCTCTTTGGCCTATAAGAAGGAATTTCAAGATGGAGGCCTTCGAAGTAGTAGTTTCTTCAGCTCTTTTGATGAAAACGACATTGAGAACCACCTCATTAGTGGACACAATATTGTGCAGCCAACAGATATTGAGGAAAATCGAACTATGCTCTTCACGGTAAACTATCATCAAGCCTCATGCTCGACCCCAGTCTGAGATACGCGTTCAAAAGAAAATCTGCTTTATTGAGTGAAGATGTCTTAGTACATTGCTTTTGGATTTATACGTGAATCCATCTATTTTTATACTGAATAATTCTTTTCTCATGATAAAATCTTACTTTAGTTATAAGCCTTTAAAATCAGCAAGGGAGAACATAAAGAGAATCCATTTTATAGCCTTGTATAATATTGATCGCCTTCTCCTACGATTGTAAAGCTACCTTTTCAATATGGAAGGAACACAGTTAATATGTGTAAAAGAGACCCCAAAAGGGATTTTTTTTTTAAAGTAATATATTTCAACAAAAATTTTTGGAAAATACTCCCTCTTTACCATTTTTATTGATTTATAAAACATTTACCCTTTGTTAATCAGGATAATTGGATTTGGGGATAATATGATATTTGAAATTTATATCCAAAGGGAACTATCAGTTCAACCAACTGCTTAGGTTGATGCTACTGGATGTATGCAGGTTTAAGATCGACATAGTCAGCGTGAAAAGGGCTGATTTCTTTCTCTTTTCATCATCAACCTAGTATTCTAAAACACTGCTACATTGGTACTCTGACTTGTGCTTTAATCCTTGGCCTGTATTTGTAAAAATCTGTCTTGGTGACATTGGGAAAGCTACTCAGTGCATCTATTTTCGAGTATTTATTGTGTGGCTGCTGTGTACAGCGTCTCTTGCAGCATCTTAGAAATATAATAGTGAATAAGACATGTGGTCTCTGCCTACATGGAATTTAGATTCCATGTAAGAGAGACCACAACTGATTGTACAAATAATTGCTTTATTGCAATTGTGATAAAGGCTGCAAAGTAGAAGCAGCGAGTGCTGTGAGAGCACCTTTGCGGAAGTGATTTTCACTGAGCAGAGGTTTCAGTGTGACCAACTAGAAGAGTTTCGGGATATAGGGAGCAGCAGGTGAGAAGGCGCTGGGGGAGGGATGGAGCACAGACGGCAGGGGGCAGGTCTGTTGTGCTGACCCAGGTCAGTAAGACTAAATGTTAATTTTTGCTAACCTAACTTTAAAAAGCCAGGTTAGTAGTATGAGAATGCCTAACACACAGTATATACTCCACAAATGGTAGGTAATTTTTAACAAACATTTTATTAAAAAGCCTTTTCAGTAAAAAATAATCATTAGAAAGTGTTTTGAAAGTTTTAAAAGAGAAACTTCTGCTTCGTGGAAGATTTGCTTATGTAGAAAACTCGTTACCTTACAGAGAGGAGATATGGGATCTGGGACTTTGTTGCTAACTTTTGGATATTTGGTCCTCTCACCTCAAAGGAGACTACTGTCTTATGTAGGGGAATGCACTAAGTTGTCTTGGTTCCCTGAAATCCATAGGATAAATTATAACCTTTGAAGTGATTTTCTACAGTGAGATAGTTGGAATTTTATAGGAGCTTGCCTCTTTTATTCTTTATTTTCATAGGTCATGAAATGAAAAAGTTTGTGTGATAAATTTGAATTTAACTTTTATGAAAAACTGGTTTCTCTGTTTGTTTGTCTTTTAAGATTGGTCAATCTGAAGTTTACCTCATCAGTCCTGACACCAAAAAAATAGCATTGGAGAAAAATTTCAAGGAGATATCCTTTTGCTCTCAGGTAAGTGGAGATGGATTATTTGCTCAATTGCAGTTGACTTTTTAATGAATTCTTTTAATTCTTTCATTCAACAGAAGTGCTAAAGGTCACAAGATGTATGCTAAGTCCTTGATTTGTGTTCTTGCATTTCTTTCTGCTTTGCTTTAGTATATTAAGGCAACATATACATATAATGTTGGAATTAAGAATTTTGTTCTTAGCAACAATAACCTACTGGAGAAAATAGATATACTTCTCTCTCTTTTTTTTTTTTTCCAATTATTGGTGGTAATGTTCCCCAGTCATGATTTCTAGGTATATATGTGTATGTCTGTGTGCATGTTTTATATATACGTTCATACATACACGCACCACATATTTTGAATAGTTATTTCTCCTGTACAAAAATTTATAACTTGGTTTGGGTACTAATCATCATTTTTTCTTCTTCCTTAATATACAATAGATAGAGGATGTTTTACGCAGAATATTCTCTTACTTGAGTTCTTTCTTGATAATCTACTGGGTGTGTTTCATAGAAAGATTTTGGAGAATCTGTCAGTTATAATGCAACTGTGCCAGTGTTACTCAGGATCTTCCTAACAAATATGAGATCACAAAGTTATTGTTATTTTTTTAAACTCTTCTCATTTCCTCACTTCCATTTTCTCATAATTCATAAGATGATGAAAATCTCATTGTTTTATAATATGATCTACTTTAGGATTCAAAAGGGAATTTTTTTTTCAAAATGTGAAAATAATGATTCTTAATAGATTGACTAGGGAACCATTTACAAAGGAAAAGTTTTTCCAAATCATATTCCCCTGAGAAGTAAGTAACCCCTAGCGTATACTTAATATGCTATTGGAGAACATCAGTTGACATGCCAGATTATGTCAGTGATTGCCCATTTATTGGAAACTGTTCAATATGAAAGTGAGATTATCCACAGAATTTTTATCATGAATGGCTGTTATTTCTATTAGAATGTTAATGTTAAATGTTTGCTTTTTCACGTGATAGTTTTATGATCACCCGAACTTCAAGCTATCAGCACTCATATCTTTGCATGCTGATACTCTCAGGAGATACTGACACATTAATATTTATAGACAATGTCTTATCTGTATTAAAGTGCCTCTTTGCTGATACTTTCAAAACAAGTTTAGATATTAACATTGATTAAAAAGAGCTCTTAGGAAACTATGTTGGAGCCCTGGCCTTAATAGCTTATGTTTCTAAGCTTCTCTATATGAGTATAATTTTTGATTCAGTCTTCATACCAGTTTACTTCAATATTTACCTGTTTGTTACTTTAGAAGTTCACATATGTTTTAAATCTTTACTTATAACCTTTGTGTCTCTGTGCGTGTGTTTGCCATGTGTACATGCATTGAGTGTGTGTATTTGTGTACAATTGTGTTTCTTCATTAAATCTCTGGTCTGCTTTTGATTTTCTAAGTAGTTTGTTTTTTAATACCTAAGAAAAGTTCTCATTTTTTCTGTGTTAGCTTTTTTTCCACTTCCTTTTAGTACTAACATGAGCATTAAAAACTTTGGTCTTCAGATCTTTTCTTAATATGGGGATAATCAGAGTAACATTTTAGAAGAACAGTGTTAATCATCTTTTGGAAGGTATTTTTAGATATTAAAATATCCAGAAAAAATAGTAAGTTTGTAGTGCTCTTCCAAAGGGTGCTGTGTAACTCTTCAGTTGCCTCTCTGGGAATGGTGCCTCTTTTGGATACAATTCAACTGTCCTTACCTCTT